ACCATGTGGTCACCTCCGGGGCAGGCGGGAATCGAACTCATGCGGAAGCGGCTTTAGATTCTCAGTGCTGTGCTTTAACCCGTTGTGCCACCAGGGAGGGCCAGGAGAAGTGTCTTTTTAAGAGCTGAAATTTTAATCTCTGTGCCACCAGCAAGTCCCTTGGTACATATTTATTGATGTGAGTAGCATATATGAGAGGGTTGTTAGTGGAAATTTTACTGTGTAATTTGACTATTTAACTATGTATTCTTTCAGTTACTGCTTCCAAAGTTGAATAATTTCTTGAGTCCTTTGAGTGACAAAGTACTGATTATATGCTGGATTACTCATGAATAGAATCATGATAAACTACAAGAGAAAAGTTTCTTTGAACTTTTAACTGAAGTGCTCCAAGCTTACATATCAAACATGTTGAAAATTTGCGACATTTTCCTTATAATTTCAATTTCTATAGGAGTGCTTTTACAGTTGATTTTTACATATTCCTAAGAATTAGATTAGTGTGTTGCCATCATATGAAGGAAAAACTGGTCACACAGATTATAATATATAGCTATGAACTCAGTAAGAGACTCTTGTTTGAGACCTGATATTTGTGGACCATTTCACTGAGCTCTGATTCTTCACTGCTCAATGTAGAAGAGATACTATCCTGGTCACTGAAGCATATTTTCATATAGTACTAATGTCGTGGTTTATTACCAGAAAACTTTTAAAAGAATGCCTTATATATTTTTCAGGCTTATTAAAATCTTCAGAAAATCATTAAAAATTTTCTTGAGTATTGTTGAATAGTGCTTTAATACAGTGCTGCTGCTAGGGTGTATTAAGAAGTAGAAAGTAAAAGCTTCCATTTATTATTACATTGCACCAGGCACCATGCTAGGTAAATATACATTTTCACATCAGTCCTGTGAGATTTCACAAATAAAATCAAGAATGAATGAGTTATTTGCCCAAAACCTCTAAGGAGTAAAGATAGAATCAAGATTTGATCCAAAGTTTATGTTCTGAAACTCTGTTTTAGGGTCAAAAAGCTAATTGGGTCCACTATATGTTATGGTTAGTAAAATTCTTTGTCTAGTTAAAATTTTTTTTCTTATTCATTGTTTACTCTGAAGCCACAAGTTATTATATCTTATTGTCAAGTCTTTTGTCCTCAGAACAGTGATTCTTTTTTTTTTAAAAGATTTATTTATTTATTCATACAGAGCTGGGGTACAGGCCAGAGATGCAGAGGGTGAGAGGATTCACCAGGAACAGAGTGGGGAGCAGAACAGGCAGATGGACGAAGTACACTGCTGAGGGGAGCAGCGGGCGGGTCAGGAGAGGTCTGCCACGCCATGTGGATCTCCTCCGGAGCAGGCGGGGATTGAACTCATGTGGAATTGGCTTAAGCTTCTTAGTGCTGTGCTTTAACCCGCTGCGCCACCAGGGAGGGCCCAGAACAGTGATTCTTAATCTAAAAGGCCAGGGTGAAGTGGGCAAGATGGGGGTAGAAGTTAGAGGCACATTTGATATTATGGCTGTGATTTTAGTCAAAATGTTTTAAGTTTCTCAAAGAAGGACATCATGTTTTATTGAGATATAAATTACATACCATTAAATTTACCAATAAATATAAATATATTTTAGTAAATTTGTAAACATATACAACATTGATTGCAATTTAATTTTAGAATATTTCCATCACTCCCCTCCCCGAAAATGCTTTGTGCCTATTTGTAGTAAATCCTGTTCTTGTGTCCCAGGCACAGGCACAACTAATCTATTTTCGGTTTCTTTGGATTTGCATTTTCTAGACATTTTCATATAAGTGAAACATACAGTATGTAGTCTTTTCTCTGGTTTCTTAGTATAATATTTTCACTTAGCATAATATTTTCAAAGTTTATCATTGTAGCATGTATTACTACCACATACATTTTTGTTGCCAAATAATATTCCATTTTATGTATAGAAAACATTTTGTTTATGCAAGAGTTGATAGATATTTGTATTCTTTCTACCTTTTAGCTATTGAGACTAGTGTTGCTGTAAACATGTTTTCAATTATTTTGGGTAAATTATATTTATCATTTAGTAAACCCAGGGTTTGGAAAGATGGAGCTGAAAATAGGTTCCTAACCAATATTCATGCAGTATGAAGACTTGTTGAACTACTTATTGCCAGGTAGTCTGTTGGGTACTGCAGTGGTAAACAAGATAAGACATAGTCCCTGGAGTCTGCTGGTTGCTAAAATTGGACAGAACAAAGAACAGACTAATTATTATGAAAAGAGGGATTAAGGAATCAGATGACTTGTTTTCTGTTTAATGACTTCCGTTGTGGGGTGATTTTAAAATATACTTTTCCCCCCTTCAGGTTACTATGGAAACATATGACCAAATAAAGGGACATCCATTCTGATAATTCTGATACCTGCGATGTAACTGGACTGAAGCGTGGAATAGGAAAAATTTTAGTGCCAACCTTAATTACAATGGCTACTGATTCAGGGGAACCGACTAGCACAGAAGATTCTGAGAAACCTGATGGAGTTTCATCAGAAAACCGAGTTCCTCAGGTTGCTGCGACTTTGATAGTGGAAGCTAGAGTAAAGGAGAAAACCAGTACTATCACTTCTTCTGGAGAAACTATAGAAAGGAAGAGATTCTTCCGAAAGAGTGTTGAGATGACAGAAGATGATAAAGTTGCTGAATCTTCCCTCAAAAATGAGAGAATAAAGATGACAACAAATGTTCCAAGAGTAGAAAAGCTTTCTACAGATGTGCTAAGAGGTGGACAAGAAGTTCATTATGAACAGTGTTCAAAGCCAACCTCAGAATCATCAAAAGATAATTTCAAGGAGAAAAATGAAAAGGAAATGGAAGAAGAAGCAGAAATGAAGGCTGTAGCTACTTCTCCTAGTGGCAGGTTCCTGAAATTTGACATAGAGTTGGGAAGAGGAGCATTTAAAACAGTGTATAAAGGACTGGACACTGAAACATGGGTTGAGGTTGCTTGGTGTGAGCTACAGGTGGGTATATAATCTTCTTGGTTTTAATAACTGTCAGTTTTAACTGGCCTGATCTGAGTCATCCAGGCTTAAATAAAATGAAGGACTTGTTCCCACCTCCTGTTGTTTTACCCTTTATTTTAAGGGTGAAAATGCCTATTATGGCTTCTTTGGGAAATGCTCTTAATTTACTAATCTTCAGAATGTTCCAAACTCTTAATATCTCAGTTTGAAAACTTTTGTAAATATATGCCTTATGAATTATTATACTTAAGTATATGTAGAGATCCATTTAGTGTGATACCTCCTTATTTTTCAACAGTTATTTTGGGGGATTCATGTTAAGTTTTTTTTAGAAAAGGAAATGATTTTGTGATATTTTGAGGACTTCTATTAATATAAACTCACCCATGCCTTTGTGTTTACCTTGAAGAGGATCTCAGGAAGAAATAATCACCAGAATCTACTAAGGTTAGTCAATCAAATGTATTTAGAAAAGAGAAATGGAAACAATTATTTAATCACTAGATATTGGTTCCATATTAAATGCTTATATATGTGGTACTTTAGCTAATGAAGGACTAAATGAAGACAGAACACCATACAAGTGGGTATCAAATGAATAGTTTCAGACTGATGTAGGTCAAATGTACAGAAAACCTGTGACCATATCAGTTCATGGAAAGTGGTCAGTGTTTACCTGAGATGCTCAAGATGAAGAAAACTGATCACTAGTTACAGGCTTTTGTTGTATGTCAGAGTGTATGTATGTATTGTGATTCTACCCATTCTGAATTTACTATAAATTGCCATCTAGATAGGTTGAAATTTAGTCCTAATCCCTGCATTTCTAGAAAGCTTTATGTCGAATGCCATGGTTTCCAAACTTAGTTGTCTGTAAGAGTTAATATTTAGTTTATATGCAGATTCCAAAGCCTACTGTCAGAGATTCTGATTCAGTAAGGCTGAAATGGGATGCAGGACTATAATATTAACCAGCTTTCAAAGTGCTCTGAATGTGGAATGTCCCTTGATGACTTGGAATGCAACTCACCTGTCAAGTCATTCTAATAGTTCTTGAAAGTTGTGTGCCTGTGTAAGGTTTACTTCTCACCCTCTTTTTACCCTCTGAGTTCTATACCATAGTAGAAATAATAGATGATGAGAACAAATAAACTTCAAAATTACTTTAAATTCTACTACTTTGAGGACACTTTAAATACTTCAGTATATGTATCTTTTTGGGCTCTCTTTTATAATAATATATACATATGTTATATATGTACATATTAATATAGGACTGTTTATATGTTCTCTCCCCATGAAGTGGAGTTGTATTTTGTTTTACTAAACCTTTCTCTTCAACTTATTATGAATTTCTTTTCATTACCAGTAATTGTGCATTTCCTTATTATTTTTAATAGAAACCTAGTATTTCATCATAAGGCTGCCCTGTAAGTTATTTAATCAGTTCTCTTTTGTTGGATATCTGTATTTTAGATCTCTATATTTTTTCCATATTCCACTATTATAACTGTGGTTGTTATAACCATCTTTGTGTTTGTGTGTGTGTGTATAAATTATATAATTTTTAACTTCATCTCTGCATTGTGACATCTGTAACACCAATCTTTTAGTGATACACTAAAGAAATGGGGAAAAATTATTTCCATCCACTTGTAGTAGGGTACAGAGTAATGATTTGTCAAATATTTTGCAAATTTTTTACTCTAGCTATGTTCAAGGATATTTAGGTAAAAATGTGAAGAAAACATTCTATGTTAAAACTGTTGAGAAGAATTTCTTCCATCATTAACTTGTGTAAAGATTGAAAAATCCTATACGGTCTTACTACTCAAACCAGCAGTATGGTTATCACTTGGGAGCATGCTGGAACTACACATTCTTGGATCTCATCCCAAGACCTATTGAATCAGAATCTGTGTCTTTAAAAAAATTATTTATTGATGCATACAAGAACTGGGGTACAGGCCAGACATGTGTGAGTGGGGGAGGTGAGAGGATTCACCATAGACAAGAGTGGGAAGCAGAACAGACAGATTGACAGAAATACAATGCTGAGGGGAATGGCAGGTGCTCAGAAGAGGTCTGCTGTGCTATATGGGTCACCTCCTTGGCTGGGGTTCCAACTCATGCTGCAGTGGCTGCAGATAGCTTCATAGTGCTGTGTTTTAATCCATTACACTACCCGGGAGGGCCCTAGAATCTATGTCTTGGTAATATCTGCAGGTGATTTGTATACACAGTAGACTATGAAAAGTATTGAAATAGGGGACCAGTTCCAAGAGGTAGCTGAATCAAAGGGGGAATTCCCTTAATACACCAGCATGAGCTTTATATTATATATACTTATTACTGGTATCCACCCAAAACTTTTCAAGTCAGAATCTCTAGAAGATGGGGGACAAGGAACTTATTTTTTTTTTAAAGTTCCCACATTTTTGGGTACATTGCCAATATGCGGATCTCTCATGAGGAGCAAATGTTATATGGTAAAGTTAAATGTTACGTTGTAAAGTACATTTTAATTTACACCTAAAGAGGCAATTGCAATTTTCTGTTCTGAAAAAAATGTCAGAATTAGTGGTGATAGATACAATTTTTGTATGTCACTTCATTTTTTTTGTGTATTCAGAATTAAGAAAATCTTAGAATTCCAGACAGATAAAGGCACCATCTTTTAATTACTTCCTCCTGAATATTATGTAATTTATAATGTGGAATTTTTCATATTTCTTCCATGATCATTTTTATTAAATAATTTTATAAAAAAATACCCAATTGGGCAGTTTAAATGTTTACATTTTTCTAGATTCTTCCCCAGTCTTCGTTTTTATATATGTATGTGTTATATAAAATTGGTTTCTCTGTACTTGTGTCTTTTCACTTTCTATTAGCATCATTAAAATATGTAAACTGTATTTTATTGTATTCACAACACCTCTTAATCTTCTCTCCTGAAATTAAGCATTTCTTTTTTTAATTTTACTTTTACATGTTTGATTTGAAATTCACAGCTGAACAAAAAGGTTTTTCTCTTTATAGCATTTTTCCTCGTTGTGGATATTTGAGCCTTGTATAACAGTTCTTAAAAGCTCCTCATCCATTTGTTTATATTCACTGACCATATAGCAGTGCAAATAACCAGAAGATATAGACTTTATTGCTGATATTTTACTTTGGGGCTGTAAAAACAAACAGTTAAACCCCATAGTGATGTGGAAAAAAATTAGAATTTGGCCATAAAGATCTGCATTTCAGCAGTCAGTCATATTTTATGGTTCCATAATTTGGGTTTTTTTATGTATTAGTGTTAATTAAGACTTTGTTAAAAAAAAAAAAAAACTTGGTTAGTTACTTGATGGATTGGTAGCTTCCTATGAGTGAGGACCATTAGTCATAAGTGCTGTTTGGAAAACTGTTAATTTTAGTTCATGATGTTGAAAGACCTGGTTAGATATTACTGCTGAAAGGTCTGTTTAGTAACTCATAGAAGGAGTTAGTCATGAGGTTATAATACTTTCTTTCTCAACTCACAATTTGAGAATAATTAGCACTCTGCTTTTACACATGAAAACACAACCAGATTTTATTTTTCTATAACTTCCACTAGTACATTTGTCACCTGTTTTATTGATAGAATTGAGTTTTCCTATAATGGGGATATTTTCCAAATAAAGGAACATCATGGCTATCTGAAAAATTTTGTTATATGATTGTTTCTAATATGTTTTTGAGTATGTTTATCATAAGCATCACTGTATGTTAGTTAAGTGTGTGCTTCTTAGGGTAACTAAACTAAGTCTTTAAAGAGCATCTAACAAGTAGACATCTAACAAGTCTCTGAACTGAACTAAAAGTGTTACTGAAAAGAAAGTTTGTTTTTTTTTAAAGACACTATTGACTACAGCAAGTTGACATGTTGAGTGAACATTCTAATATGCAACTAGCATTCTAATATGCTAGTGAATGTATTCAAAATAGTGCAAGGTAATAAATCACTTTAAAACCCATGCTTCCACTCCTAAAATATCTATCTAAGTCGGGGAGAAATTTTTTATCCATTTTACTTTCATTCATTATCTAAAAACACTTTTACCAAAGTGTATTTCCAGGTGTCAGCTTTGCACTTAATTGTGAAATTAAATTTAAATAATGTAAAAATAACTGAATTTCCAATAAAGAAAAAAATAGTTAAAATATATGCAAACATTTGTTTCTGAATAAACAATGTTGTCCAAAATAGTTATTCTGGGTACTTTTGTTCTCAATTTTTTTTTTTGTGAGAAACTGCTTGGAAATGTTTCCAGATTACTTGATCCACATAATAAAATGCTTCATTGCATATAGGTATACCCCAAATAGTGTTATTCAGTTTGATATCCCATTGTCTTCATCAGACCCAGCCCTCAAAAGCACTCTCATGAAAAAAAAAAAAGAATATTTTCATTGAAGAGAGGGAAGGATAAATCTTTTTGATTTATATATGTTCTACTCCTTGTTTAAAAACAAGTCACATAACTATTAGATATAAACCAAACTCAGATATTTTCATTAAATTACAAGGAGTGAAAGTGGCCAGAGACAAAACTTGGTTTGGGGAATAGTGTTCATTTTCCCAGTTAGTGAGTTAGTTTTGAACTATCTGCTTATTGACAAGAAAACAAGATGTAGTGGGTTGAATGAATAATTGTTGCCCAAAGATGTCCATGCTTTGATCCAATATGGGATTCTACATTGCATTTAGTTGTTATGTAGGCTTAGTCTCATACAGTCTGTGACAGTTCTTTAGTCCTTACTTGTTTTTCTTCTTTTTAATTTTTTATTAATTTTTAAATTTTATTTTTAATTGCAGTAACATTGGGATGCCCTCATCAGGTGTTACCACTGTAGTGCCCCAAAATTCAAGATCATTATTTTGAAAAGAAATACACACTCCCATGTTTATGCAATGTTGTTTACTATAGCTAAATTATGGAAACAACTGAAGTACCACAGAA